ATAATATACTATAATATACTATACCTCAGTGTGATATCAATCTGCCGCCTCTGGACAGTGTGTGTGTTTAAAGGATGTAGAAAAGCAATAAAGTACTGATCACAAAAAAGGAAGCTAGTCACTACGGCTGCAATGACAGTAAAAACGTCATATTAGGGAATATTTTGACAAACCTGTAATGGGAATGAGGACCCACGGGATCTCCCCCCCTTCCTCCTCCTCTTCATATCCTCCTGCTCTCCTCCCCAGGCCTCCTCCTCCTCCTCTACCTGCTACTCCGTGGTGATTCATCTCCCCGCTGTGGGAACTGGGACTGAATCCCTCCAAACTACTGATGCTGCCCGCCGTCTGCTCCTACACACACACACACAATCACACACGTTGTTACCCGTTACCTGCTCAATTAGGTAAGTATTTATATGAGGAACTTTGTACACAAACATTGTATATTTAGAACAATAATAAGTAATGAAATTATTTCTTACTGTAGCTACGTATATAGCAGTACCTTTCTTTATCAAGACAGTAATAAAAATACTCCCTCTGTGATAAGTAATATTAATAAAGTTATTACTTTGGTAGTGTTAGCTAAACTAACTATCACAGATACATTTAAAGAAATTCATCTTAAGTGTTTAATGTATGTTTAGAGAGTTATTGCTCAATGTAATCATCAATTTATCTGACTGAACAAAGACTGCATGCTCCATCTCTTACAGTGTAGTCAGTCAACCAATGAAGGTATCACTTCACGACTGATGTGGTAAATACGGGCATCATGTAGGTATCGGGTTAAGCAACCCCAATAACCACCATTGATTTACACACACTAGTTCTGAAAGGGCTTGTAATTTCCCCGCGCTGTCAAACCAAAAGAGTAGAAAGCTATAATAAGGAATAGTTTGATGTATCGTGCACATTTGCATAATATCATAGATGCAGCTACGAAATGAAACAACATTGACTTTAGCAGCTGAGCTTATTATGTAACTATACAATGATTTGTTGGAAAGGTAAAATATCTCCCAGTCACAAACATTTACTGAAAGCTTCATGTTACCTCCAGCTCCTCCTGCTTCCTCAGGTCAATGTCACAGTTGGTGGGCAGACCCAGTTTGGTGGCCAACCTCTCAAATGGACAGGACTCCCTGTGGACTTCCTCTTGCACTTCACAAACGTTCTGAGTGGCTGTTCCCCTGGCAGCCTGGTTGAGGCCTGTCAGTCGGCAGAGAAACATTCATTTACAAAGATCTGTTTTTCATTAAGAGTTTTCAAAATGCTGAAACATCATTATAACCAATGACTTTGTGATGTCCTACAATCTTCTTCTAGTGTTTTGATGTGACCAACTGGAATCAGATGATATGGTGATGGTATAGCAGTCTCTGTATCTAGTCACCTGTCAGAAGGCTGAGAAGTTTGGCAGCTAGTTCAGATCCATCTTCCCTCAGATCGACATCCTTCAAACCCACTGAGCCAATCACAGATGCAAGAGAGCCGGGTGAGGCTGGGACTTGGTTTCCCTCAACTAGGAGCAAAAAACAAAAGAAAACTTGTCAGTAAACGACTCATTGATTGCGAGATTAACAGTAAAATAAGAAGAGTAAGGAATCTTTTAAGGTGTGTTTAGACTTAATACAAAGCAAAAAACATGAGTTTGCTCTTAGCAGTGCAAAGAGTGGCAAATATTTAGTCTTTACACGTTACAATGACACATAGCACAACAGGAATA